CAGATTGATGTGGTCGCTGTACTTCTGTAAAATTTTGTACAAAATGAACGTTTAAGAAATCCTATCATTGCCACTGAAACTTTGGACTAATAATATGGTACTTGCTAGGTTTTTATCAGATGATATAGTGAAAACATACTGGTTCAGTGGTGCTTTTGTGAAGTTTTGATGCTGACATATGTAAGCACTCAGGGCTATGTTGGTCTTTTCTACTAGGAAATGGGCTTCTCATTTTGCTTTAGGAGGATGAGGCTTTTTTGCTGCTCATGTGAATATGTAGTTGGTGGGGAACCAATTAGTTTTAGAAAAGTTATTTTTAGTATTGATTTAGATGCCATCCTTTGGCTATTTAGCTAGGTGTGTTTAATATAAGTTAAAGTCGCTGTTTCCAAGATGTCTTAATGTATTCATTCCAGAGTCACAGATGAACTGATGTGAAAGAAAATGCAATCAATTCACAAAGCACTGGTAATTCAGGGCAGAAATTCCTTTCTGAAGATGGTGATATCTAAAGAAATCTACACAGTACAAATCAGTCAGTGTTGTAGAGGAACAGAGGAGAGCAGGATAGGTGCTCTATGAGTGTTTTGACATCTTTTTCAATGTCAGTAGGAGATGAGTTTACTAGGAGAAAACAAGTCTCTAAAGCAATTTTAGTGTCACAAAGTGACTTTATTTTGGAATCAGCTTTGTTTCTTGCAATACTGTTTAAGTGGTGTTTGTGTGTGCAATTAAGTATGAAAGAGGAAGTGCTTCTCCAGATGACAACGTGCTCATTGGCGTCCAGTGAGAGTCTTGCTTATTGCACCACAGCTGACTAACTCAGCAGGACTATGCGTGTAGCAGCTGATTTGCTGGCTAGTGTCAGTGAAGCCAGAGGTGCCAGCAGTTCAGGGGCCACTGCTGCAAGCTGAAAGCAATGTAAAACTGTTTCAGTTCAGTAAACTTACGAACTTTCCCTTCCATCACTAGATTTCCTTTATGGATCCATAAAATGCTTTTGGGCATAAGTTACCTCATTCTTCTGACTTGGCACCTTGCTGCTGCCGTGCTTTAATCTTTTCTGTGCTCATCTTCCATGTGAGCAACTGTTGTGACTTTTTACCAATAGAAGGTAATATGAGCTGCACAAGTCAAACTCCAGCTGAATTTGGTGTCTGTTACAAAATTGTTGCATTGACTGCTAGAATTAATTAGGATTCATGTTCTGATTTATATACTTATTTATATGGAACTTAAAAGTTCTGTTGACAGTAAGTCTGATAAATGGCATGGAACTTTCCCTCTCCCATTATTGAGATTGCTTCTAATGTATTACATTTCACAAATGGGAAGCTGAGGCATGCGGTGTGATATGCACAAGGGTATATCAGGCTGACAGACAGGTTTTCTGAATTCTAGTCCGGTGTTTCACCTTTGTCTCCATCTGTTAAGAAATGTTCTAGGATTCCTGCTGGAGCACTGCCACTTTGTATGGTGTCTCTGTGCTGTCCTGTATGATAGTCAGCTGCTGATATAATTGTAGTTCCTTTTGGGATTGATTATCAGGGAAAGACTTAAGAGAAGAAAAGGAAGAAAGAAGGTTGTGGCTCTGCCATTTAGCATTACACTGTTTGGTGTTTGTTCTCATTCATTAGATAAGATACATGGCTATGCTTCTTTCCAGTGTTTGAGAAAGATGGACAACAAGAAAAGAATGAGCACTTTGTTTCAGTTAACAAGTTTAGTGTAATGGTATCAGGTGAATTAAGACTGCAGTGAACTCAGGAAATATTAAGGTTTCATGTACAATTGTATTCATACAACTGCTTCAGAATATAAAATTATTTCCCTTTGATAAATTTAATTAACTTTAAAAAAACCCAAACAAATAAAAAACCTAAACAAAAAAAACCCCTCAAAACCTTTAGTCTACTTTTAACTTTTCTTTTTGGGTAGTGCTGTCCTTACAGCAATGACGCAAATGCTTCAAGCTCTGTTTCAGACACTGGGCAGAATGCATGACATGTCTTAATCTTGAGCCAATAATTGGTTCAAGATTTTATTTTAAACAGCTTTTAGCATATTGCTAAAATTAATGCATATATACTGCTTCATATCTTAATTAGCAGTATAAAAATTAAATACACTGATGAAAGTACTTTTTTAAAGGTGGAGAATTGCTAATATTGCTATGGCTAGCTGGTAGCATGTTGTTGCCAAAAGTCTGGTTGTGCATCTGACAATTTGTAGCGTACAGAGGTTAACTTAATTGGGAAGACTACAATCAAAGTTCAGAAAAGAGGCAGGCAAAACAGTACTTACTGTCTTGAAGGGCCTTGTCTCTGCCATAGTTGAAGTGAAATGCAGCCGAAACACAAATACGTTATGTGATTGTGTGTGTGTGTGTGTCTCATCATAACTCTGAAATCTTTAAATGACACATAGAAAGTGGAGAGGGTCAAGTTATCTGACTGTTCTGGGGAATGATGATATGAGCCATGCCAAGCAGGCATACTGGTGATATTGGAAGTATAGTTACTCATGGATAGCAATGGCCTGGGAAAAATGGGTTAACTTCCAGTGGCTAACTCTTGTCAGCTGTGGACTTCACAAGCTTGCAAGCTAGAGTTCTTCAGGATTCTGTTTTTTCAGTTGTTTAACTTTCTATTGGGAAGTCAATACAGTACACAATTTGATATATATTAAAAAAAAAAAAATCAGTTGAAAAACTAGGGTTATATATACATATGTATGTACATATACATGTCTGTGTATATATATATTTGTGACACACTGGAATGTTGTTTTGGTTTTAGTTTTGCACTTAGCTGATAAACTTTCCAGTCCTTTGAACTTATGCACAAATAATACTGAGTCTGCAGAAGTTTTTGAGTAATGGTTGCTTCCTAAAACAATCTTTTCAATCAATAGTTTGTTTTTTAATTTAGGATCTGTCTTGGCTGTCCAGTGTGGCACTTAGGTAGACTAAACAGTAGGAAAAATGGCTTTACTCTTTCTAACGTTGAGTAATTTTCTACGCCTTCCCTCCTGCCCCCCAAGTCAATAGAAGAGTTAATTCTGAGAGCTAAGAGTAGAGTGAGCTTCTAAACAAGCTTCCTTTCAGAAAAGGCATACTTTTATTCTAATTTCAGTACTTCACCTGCTCTTTGTGCATCAAATCCCAGGTAGATGGCTTCTAGCTGCCTCTTTTAAACGTAACAATTTCTTTCACTGATTCAGTGTTAGTTTGCACTAATTTCTACATTTAGAGTAGAGAACTGTCCATCTAGGTGCTATCCACTGTTTTTTCACTAACTTCTACTATTTCTGAATCTTTCAAATTCTTAACTGATGCATTCTCCTGTCACACAGATATTGTCAAAATTGCTTATTCCAGAAGGTAAGGAAGTGCTTGAGCACAATACGAAATGATAGTCATGTCTTTAAAAGCTAAACGTGTTGGACATTGTCTGCGGTTCTTGCTTCTTTGTGGGAAGTTTGACTGTTTCCTCTTACATGGAAAGCTCGTTTGACACCCACTCTTGTATAAGGCTCTCCGCATTTTTTAAGTCTCCCATGAAATGGGTTTAAGACAATGCTAGTGTTGAAGTAGAGGTGAAATGTGTCCTATGAGGCCTTTCTCCTGAGATATACCTTGGTAGTGCGGTTCATAATTTGGTGGTTACTTACTGACTTAGCCTTTCATTTTACAATAGAAGGGACCTGTTTGTTTCATAGCCACCCTGTATGATTTTTCAGTAGCACAACTTCCTTATATGGACTGTATGTGAAGCAATGTTTCCAGTACTATGTTACTAGAGTGTTTAATACTAGTTACGTTATCTAGCAAATGAGCACCAATAAAAACTAAATCTAAGCTCCATGAAGCTTACAAATCCCATTATGTACTTTTTAATAAAATCCTCAGGGCAGTATTGGAGCAGCCTACCTAATGATCCACCTTCCTGACTCTTCCTAACTTAAGCCTGGAATATAAAAGGTGATTTAAATGCCATAGCATATTTGAAATCAAGCTGTCCTTCCATGGAATACTCATGGCCTGAGGAAAATGTCACAGGGCTGCCTTTTCTTCTCACCAGAAGGTATGTTAAACTTGCAACAGAAAATGTTGTTACAAGTGTAGATGTATATAATGAAAAGCTATTTGTGAAGCCTAACCTCCTCTTCTTTACTCTGAAATGCTCACCTGTAGAAGAGAGAAAAGGGATCCTTGAACTACAGCAGATTATTCTGACTGTCTGTACCTGTTTGAGAGGATCTGTTGGAATAATGTATAAATTCCCTAGATTATCAGGTTGACACTGAAAAATAGCTGCCAACATAACTGGCTTCAGCCAAAGATGATTTTTTTCTTAGCTGGGTGTGCTGGTGTGATCCAGTCTGGCATAGGAATATTGATAGATCTAGGAGTTAACTTGTGCTATAGTGCACACAGGATGAGCAGAGTCTTTCTTTGCTGATGACTCTTCAGTGACACTGGTTCTAAAATAAACAGTGTTTGTTCTCATCGTACACTTCCATCAAAATGGAAACTAAATTTAAAGGACCAATTTTGGGTTTTGACTTAATGACTAGATTTATAATTTGTATATGCAAGACTTGCTCGAGCAAGTGTGAGCTTCTTAATGATGATTATTATGTTCTCCTTGCTTTGCTAATGTTTAGTACCATTGTTAGTGTCTAAAACAAATCAGCTGTACAGTCACTGCAATTGATTGCCCACACTTGCCCTTTAAAAGTATCTGTAACTGTGACTTTAACTGTGATTATGTGCTGTTTTTTTAAAGGCCATATACATTAGGTACTTGTATATTTACATCAGTGAAACACCCTGATAGTAGGCAGGTAGTGTCTTTGCTCCAGGTACCTTCTCTCTTTTCTTGCATTAATATAGTTTTACAGAATGCTCCTTGCTTATCAGCAGCTAAGAAAATTGACTTTAAGAACTATGTAAAGATGTGTAATCCTCTACATCTAACTTTTTTTCTTTTGCAGGAAGGGTTTCTCACCATGGCCATAACACAGTTTCGACTCTTTAAAATCTGTACTTGCCTGGCAGCAGTGCTTTCTTTCATTAAAAAGTTAATATGCAGGTAAACATGTCTTATTTAATTTGGTTACTTTTTTAATTACCGATTCTTGCACTTCTTTTCTTCTCTTGACACCCACCCACCACTTTTCCCAGTTCTGATTTTACTAATTGCAAAACAACCAAGACAGATAGAAACTAAGTCAAATTCATTCTTTAATCTGCATATTCCTTCAGAGTTCAAAAGTCTATGTAGTGTAGTTGTGAGTATATTTTGTGGTATGATAGCTCTCATGAGGAGTGCTTTCTAAACAGCTATGACAGGGTTTTAAAATTGCCTTTTAAAACTATCCTGTAACAAACTTTAAGAAAAATTGTTCTCCATATTTTCTAGTAGCACTTGGCAAGTGTTATTTTGGTTTTTTAAGAGGTTCAGTTAATGGCAGCATCCACCTGGTTATCAGTCAATTGGCTTTCATTATAAATGTGATTCTCATCCTTCTTTGTCAAGAAACAGTTGCCTGAGACTTCAGATCCTTCTGCCTATTGAAGATTGTTTCAAAAGTTTGGAGGACAGTGATTAAAGTTCAAGGGAACTGCATTTTTTTTTAATGACCATGACTTATTTCTGCTTACTTTTGTAAGCCATACTCTGTTCTTTTGAGCTGTAGACCCATGAGCACAGCAGTGTGGTACCTAGAAGCATTCAAAAACCCTCAAGAGTTATGATTATGTACAGTAGAGTTCAGTAGTACAGTAGCAGAGTACCTGAGGTAGATCATCTCAGCGCTGTGCTGTCATCTGAACTACTGTTGCTTCTTGCCATTCTTGCAGAATGTTTTACATAAACTAATAGAAATTTAGAGAAATGTATTCTCCTTTTGTGTATGATGATGGTGAGGTTAAAGTATGTGCAGAATATGTGGTAGACACAAAAACTTTATTTCCTGTTTACCTTTACTTACTCCAAAAATAAGAGGCAGCTTTCAAGTGGTTGGTAAATTCACTACAGATCTAGTGAAGCTTTAAAAAGATACATTTTAATACTGCATACAAGTATATAGATGTCAACCTTAGTTCTGTGATGTGAATTCCAAATAAGAATTCTTGCTGTTCAAGTTCTAAAAGAAGTCAAAATACTGAGTTGATGATAGCTTCTATATTACATGGACCCTTCATCTAAGTGTTAAGATGGCTTTTATAAGCAGATAATTGCTTAGTAGGTGTAATGACAGTATATTCCTCTGTTTTTTCAACTTTTGAATCAACTAAATCCTTGAAATGAACAGCTGAGGAACTGCTTGGGAATAAAAAGTGAGTGAACTTTTCTTCTGTGAATAACAATTAGTTGAAAGAACGAAAATTTAAAGTCTTTCACATAAGCGAGTCAGTGGATCAAATTAATTGTCCATTAACTACAGATGTTTCTCCTGTTTAATGTCAGCTGCAAAGCATAGCTTGATAACCTTTGTTTTCCTGTAACGCACCCCTACGTATGAGTATGCCTGATAACCAGCAAATGTGATTTAATTAAATGTGCGTTTTAATTCAATGACTATGAGCTAATGCTTATTTAGATTGTAGAGTTTACATTAGTAAACAAGGGCCTGTAAAGATTGTTCGTCTTTCTAATCAGCATAAAGTCTACGTATGGCACTAGTCATCTCTTTAGTTAAAACTTCTTTTGATAAACAACAGCCTGTCTGAATCCACTGTTTCTAGGAAATAAAAGGTATAAGTATAAAAAGAGATGAAACTTAGTTCTGTTTAAAATCTCTAGTTGTCTTCGCTGGCTGAGAAATCTGGATGCTGCTAATTAGTAAGGAGAAACAAAACCAAGAATTCTTAAGGCATTTGGCATTCAAAGCAGTGATCAATATCTGTCTAATGATGGTTGTGAAGTAAGTGTTCCTATAAGCATCTTGTTTCCTTTGTCAAAAAAGGAGTGGAGATACGTAGCATTCCTCAGTGCTGCCCTGTGTAGCATATTCTTTCCCATGCTGTATGACAGAAGCTGTTTCCTCCCACTTTCATCCTTGTCAGCGTAGTAATTTTGGCTAGATGAATGTTTGTTATAAGCCACTTGCTGGAGTCTTCTAGATCATATAAACAGGGAAATATATATAATTGCAGAAGTCATGGCTTAGAATATTATTAAAGATATGTATGTTGTACAAGTCTGAAGGAGGATGTTTCCAAGCTTGGGTTTCCTTTAGAGACATCAACTGAATCTAGTCAGCCAGAACCAGAAGTCTCTCTAATGTGTTTGAGGGAACAGTGTTTTCACCTTCCTTTACCCCTGAACTGTGTTGCTTTTCAGCTTAAGGGAATAGTTTCTAAAGGGGCTAGAGTTAATTATATAAAGCTTCAAAATTTTATGATAGCACCTGATCTTCCCTAAGGAAGAATCTGTTGGGCTTAAAGTAGGAAAAATATATCTAATTACTCACTAGCATGCAGCAGAGGTGGTATTGCAAGCAATTCAGCTATGCTGAGTTGATGGTAGAATGTTCTATAATAGTAGAACTGATGGATACAAACTCCAAATTGTAGTTTCCCAGTTGTATGCTCATCAGTAGTAATAAATGAAACATAACTTTTCCAAGCTGCATAAGGTCAATTACATGATTGTCTTTCTATAGGACCTTACAGTCCTTGGGAAAAACACGAGTGTGAGCCTGAATTTCATTCTTTTGTGCTGTAAGGTTTTAAAATACAGCGAATGTCAGCTAAGAATATATTAATTATTATTGTGATCTTTGAACACTGCCATTAAATAAATAACTAGGTGATTTGTTTGCAATGTATTAGTGTTTGTCTTAAATTAAAATTATTTGATGCAGTTGCTGAAATGCTTCTACTTAAAGACTACTGTCTCAATAAAAGCATGTATTGAACAGAAGCTGTTGACTTGCATAATCTTGTACTACCTCTGTTCAGACTTTGAAAGAGAAAGCGCTATAGCAGTTCAGAAGGCAATTTGTTAGACACAGCTTAACATCTAAGACCAGTTGAAAGATTACTCAGTTCACAGTAGAAATGATTATTTTTTAACAAATGTAGATTGATAGTGTTTGCTTCATAAGCACTGGCAATCTAAAAATTGTAACTGACTATATGCAAATAATTCAGTTAATTTGTCCATTATCATATTTCTTAAAGTTGCATCTCCTCCATTTCCCTTGCAGTTTGAAAAGTAAATTGCACTTTGAAATTCTTGTGAGCACCATTTTAAATTCATGATGAGATTCCTTTGTTTAGCAGACTTTTACTGGCAGTAGTTAATACTAAGGTAGTTTAAGCACTTAATGTTTTAGCCATGACTATTTTCAGTAGTGCTGTTCTCAGACTTCCTTTTTGTTTTTTTTAAACTTAGTGCTCATGTTTTCAGAGCTTGGAGGAATCCTACATTTTTCTTTCAGGTCTGGAAGAGGGCGAAAGTTAAGTGGAGACCAAATAACTTTGCCAACCACAGTGGATTATTCATCTGTTCCTAAACAGGTAATTGCTTAAGTGGTAGGTGACTTAATCACTCTGTTAAGTGATTACCTATTATACCAGTCCTACAAAAGGATTGGTATGTATCTTAGAAAGATATAATATTATTATATATGCTATATAATAATAAGTATATATCTAGCAAGATATAAGAAGACAAATTTTTACTTGAAGATAATATTAACTTGTACCATATACTTCTATTCAGCCAGAAGTAGAAGACTGGTCTTCATGGGATGAAGATGCACCTACTAGTGTGAAGATTGAAGGTGGCAATGGTAATGTGGCCGCTCAGCAAAATCCTTTGGAACAAATGGAACCTGATTATTTCAAAGATATGACACCAACTATAAGAAAAACTCAAAAAGTAGGTATTGCACTTTCAACTATACTTATGAAGGGTTTTTCTTCCGTTAAAATAGGCTATAAGTAAATTGGCAACTTACAGAAGGTGGTTCTGGTAAAATTAAGCTGTCCTACTGAAATGAGAATAGGTGCTGATGTCTAGTCTAATATGTCCAATTAAAAATACTGACTCTCTGAGATCTTACCAAATGTGGTGCTAGTTCATGTTTACGTCACTAGTCTTAATGTTATTGGAAACTTACGAAGAATTTCATAGTCTGAAGTCTCTGGGAAGTATAATGTGAGAACCCTCAAGTCACTTTAATTCTGAAAATGGATCCACTGCACTAAGATACTGCTGCTCATACCTTTCCATTATTTGAATAGAGACTTTCCATAGCCTGCTCTAATCAAGTTTGAGGTAGCAGCACTGCTGTTTCAGAAAACAGTCGTTACTTGTTTCACCAAGTTATATTGGGGAGGCTGGAATTAGGGAGCTGATATTTCAAAATAGCTTGGTCTTCAAGTATCCATTTTTATTATGGAGACAAGACAGAAGGGCATATCCACAAGAGCATCAACACCGTAAATAAATGCTGATTAATCTTGCAGGTTTTGTTTCTATGTGGAAATTTTCCAGCTGGGTACTTACAGGGCTTTGAGTCCATTGGAAAACCTTTTCCACAGCAAAGGTAGTCAAGCACTGGAACAGGTTACCAGAGAGGTTCTGCAGGCTCCATCTCTGAAAGTCTTGAAGACCCAAGTGGATAAGTCCTGAGTACCTTCATCAGCCTCCGAACTGACAGTGCTTTGAAGAGGAGGTTGGATCATAGACCTCTTCAGGCCCCGTCCAGCCTGAATCTTCCTGGGGTCCTATGAACTGGAGATGATACTGCAGGCAGTTTTCTGTACATTGAGGATCTGTAGTATTCTGTGGACTAAAGTCTTCTAAGGATTTTGATCTCCCAAAATCTGGGCAGCAGAGAAGGATTGGGGACGAGGTAGAATTATCCTTTGTATGTAATGGCATTTTTAACCTAATAGATTGAGCTTCATGTACAGAACAAAACTTGAGAAGAGTCCGTGCTGTTTGAATACTGTATAATGGTTTTAGTTTAAACGTATCTCTAGGGATGGCTACAGGCACTGTAAAGAATATTCCTGCTAACTTGGCCTTCTTACCATCCTTAAATAGGAATTTGCGCTTGTATTTCCACCAAGTCTGGGCTCAATATGGACCCTAATATCTGAGGTGGAATCTACTTGTGTTACTGCTCCTATTTACAATGTCTGGAAATGGACTTTTAGTCAAATAACAGTCTATCATTCCTAAATAAGATAGTCTAGTCCTGTTTCCTTTCTTGCACTGGTACTAGCATTTGTACAGTCAGTGGAACTGTGACTCTACCTCTTTTGGAAGCAGCAGAAACTTTAAGTAGGCTAAATGAAGTGAGTAAGTTTGTATCTTGAGGTCAAGACAAGTAAGGGATACATGATCTTAGCAACCATGTTAAATTTGCTGATAAGCCTTTTAGGAGAAGCATTAGTGCATATTTTTCAGCCAAATCAGTACTGAGCTTTACCAGTTGATGTGATAGTGAATTATATTTCAACTATTGAAACTTAAATTGTCTGCACAGATATGCTATCAAAGTAGCTAAGAGAGCTCATGTTCTAATGCAGTAAAGCTGTGCAGACAGCACTATCCTCAAGAGTAGTATCTTACAATGACCTATGATGGAACCAGCATTTCTCCAAGGAATATGTCATGTAAGTGGTAGCTTATATGAGTACTGGGAGATGTGGCTATTTGATCTGTAATTCTTTGTGGCCTTTCGCTATCTTCATACAGTCATAGGTTTCCATGTGACTTAAGAAAAAGCTAGTGGGGGGAGGAGGGAGTTCTTGTGTCTTTTGTGTTTAGCTTCTCTTACTTACCAGTTCATTTGGCTGTACAGCTTCCAGAACCTGAGTAGGTTTGAGATGCAGTGTGGTGTTGTGTAGCTGTACCTTCACAGGCACAGAGATACACGGTCACCAAGGAATCCGTGCAGCGCTTTGACTTAAAACTTTTCTTTTTTTTTTAATATTTTCAGATAGTTATTAAAAAACGAGAGCCTTTAAATTTTGGGATTCCAGAGGGAAACACAGGATTCTCTAGCAGATTAGCAGCTACACAAGATATTCCTTTTATTCACCAGTCTGTAAGTATTCTCTAAGTATTGATTGTATGTTTGACAGTTAAATGACTGTTCTGTAGGGGAAGGAATAGTCTGTCTAAGGTCTGCATTGTGTGGAGCAAGAGGAATAGTGTGGAATAATGTAAATTGTTGTAAAATTGAGTACTTGGCTCAAAGCAATGAAGTTGTTAACCTAATTTTAACTGAATTATTCTACTGAGAAACTTAACAGATCGATGATAAAAACAGAAGAAGCTTCTAAACACTTGTATACTTGCAAATCTTCTAAAGCAACAGACTGTACTTCTTTTTATTATACACAGTAAGTTCCTAACAAAAGAGTAGGCGCTTTTTTTTTTTCCTTGAAAGCCTCTGGGTTACCTTTGCTTCATTATCTTGGATGCATTTTTAATTTTCTCCTTCTCCCTTCCTTTTTGTAGGGATTGTATTCTAGCAGTCGCCTAATTTTTGCTCTTTAGCCTTTGAAAAAAATAGTCTAGTTACCTAATAGCCTAGCTGTTTAGAGGGAGATGGTCTCTCTCTTCCCCTTTGCTTTCTTTCATGGTGCTTCTGCTTTGATTAACATAGTGCACAAAAGGGTCTACACAAAGCGGTACAGAATGGCCATACCACTTCCTTAGACTGTCCATAACGAAAATAATTCAGGAAAGGGCTTCTAATGAGTAAAAGCAGCACTCCAGTGATACTGGATATAAAAACATGTGGATGTATGTGTTGGTTTGTCTGTGCAGCTTCCAGAAATCTCTTGCCCTATCTACTCAATTCATTTGCTCAATTATCTTCTCCTTCCTAAAAATGCACTTCAGTGCTTCTTCCCTTCCTTTGTTACCAACGAGTGGAATCCAAAAAACCTTCTCAAAATTAACTGGAAAAAGTCAGTATTAGAGCAGGGGAAAACATATAGACAATAAGCTGAGAAGTACTGTCATATCCCAAATATTTCTGGAAGTCTGAAATGTCAAGGTTAAAAATGTTTTATCTATTTTTTCTATGTGCTTAGAGCTTCTCTTCTTTTGTTTCAGCCTGAACTGGGAGACTTGGATACTTGGCAAGAAAATACCAATGCCTGGGAAGAAGAGGAAGATGCTGCCTGGCAGGCAGAAGAAGTTCTCAGGTAACTGAAAATAATGTAATACCATGTAAACTTTTTCATGTAGAAGAATCAAATACAGGTTTGTTGTCACACCTTTCTGATAAGTGCTAAGAATTGTTAAATAGTTCTTAAGACAAATTATCTATATGCATCTAATCTCTATGTAACTGGTAGTTGGCAGAATACATTTTTTTTATCTAATCAATTTAGTGAATGAGATAGTGGGGGAAATCAGAGAATCACTGGAACATTGGAACAGCATATTAACTCCCCCCTCCAAAAAATAACAATGCCCCACCTCCCCCCCAACAATTTATTATGTACAAATAACATGTTTCAACTTGATTAAGTAAAGTACCACTGAATGTCCTTATAAAATGGTTCATAATCATGTGTTGTAAAGTAAAAATAATTCAGGACAGAAGGTGAAGTTATAAGTATGTTCTTGGAATCCTCATAGGAGCTATGCTTTTCTAGCTAACTTAACTAAACTAGCTCATAAGGCTGGAATGTAAAAAGTGTCTCACACGAAGTTAGTGTGAATACTTCATCTGTTCCATTTGTGGGGTTTTTTTTTCTCCTCTTAAGAGTATGTGGAAGGAGTATGAAGCATAAAGAGATGCAGATTGTGTTTAAGCTAATCACATGCAATGATTTGCATTGGCAGTGACTTAATGTTAACCTGTTTCATTTCAAGGTTTTATCAAACTTAATTGCTTGCTACATCATCAGATAACCTGCCTCACATGGCTTCAGATTCCTAAACTGTGCTCATTCTACTCACAAAATCACAAATACAGTGATTCAGTGGGACAATAGTGCTATGAAATAAGGACATGATATACTAAAAGATCATTCTAGAACTGTGGATCTTTAAAGAAAAAAGGTATTTTTTCCAAAAAAGGGTTCTGGTAAGCTATTTATTGTAATATTTGGGAAAATTTACTCTTTTCAACCAGTAGAATAAGACAAGAGGGAAGTCACCAGCACGCTTTTGATGCATTAATGATAGATGATTACATTCAATCAATTCTAATTCTGTCAGTCTTCCTCTGCAGCAGTTTAACATGTGAGAATATTGTTGTACTGCAAATATTTTTGTAAACTTAATCAGATACCTTCATGTGTACATTCTGGTCAATATTTTGTTTGGGTTTGTTTTTTTAATTCAGTACTGAAACTGTTTCAAGTCTTGTACTTCTGCAATACACTAGTAAAAGACAAGCTTTGTGATACACCTTTGATGTGCCTTTGGGCTGCTTTTGTTCCAAGGATAGTACCTTTTCCCATAAAGAGTATCAGTATGCTCAGTAGTATCTTTAATTTCTAAAGTGGAATCTACTGAGACTTAATCTATGATATACCAGAGAAAGAAAATTAATGACAATGAAAAATACTGCTTTTTTGAATTGAGAAATGAAACAACTACTTTTGCTAACTGTAGAGGCCGCGTCGTACTTTACTTAACCCATACCACATTCATAACACCCACATTATGAAAGAAGTATTCAAACTTTCTGAAGCAGAGACTTGTCTTATACAAATTATCTATTAAAAGTAATCCGGTGTGTGCATATGCCAGTTTATTTCTGGACTGTAAAATTTGTATAGTGGATATTCCCAGGATGGTCAAAGGTTTATTGTCTACCAATTGCCAGGTTCATGATCTAGAATACTTAGTGAGAGAGATATCTGATGTGGGGATAGCAGTGGGGTTTTCCCACAAACTCCATTTTTCAAAGTGCCCTCTTATTTGCTTGAGGCTGTTCTAAATATTTCAGCCTGGCATCCTTACTATTGAAAGGCTTCAGCTCAAGCAGTTAATTTTCATAGAATTCCTTCCTCACCCCACTAAAAAGTATCAGACTTCACTTGTTTTAGAAGGGATGTGTATGTGTCCAAATATTTCAAGTAAATAAAAAGAACATTATCAGAACTGTAACCGTCTGTATTATATACCACTTGGCCAGCTGTGAATGGCCACTTCAGCACAACTGATCATTGTGTCAGCTGTATCCCAGCTGTGTGAAGTAAAACCTGTGCTTTATTCATGGCACATCAAATTACAGTGATTTGAACTGAGCACAGTGCTGGATGATTTTTAGCAAGATTCATAGAAAATACCTTCTGGGTTTGGAGTTTCCCTTTGCAGTAGACATCTGTGGTGTAATTAACATCTGACATTTAACATAAAACTTCAAGTATAGTACTTGACAGGCCTGGGTCTGTTTTCAACAGACTGTACTAAGGAAGTGATCTTGAGTCTCTTCTTAATGCTAGAAGACTGCATCTTGGTCTACAAAATGGTCTGAAGATTTCAGACTGCTAGATGGGGGACAAAGTCCCCCTAACCCTCCAGAGTGTTTATGCTGACTGTACTCCAGCAGTACTTACTGAGAATAAAATGAATGTGCAGAAAAAGTAAGGATCTCCTTTAGCTGGCTGTGTCTGGGCACCTGTTGGTGCTCAGTTAGTATTCAGAAGTGTCTTAGACTAGAATAATTTTTGTGTAGTAATGGAGTGTTGATCAATTGTCTAAAAATAGGCTGTGGCCTGCTGAATAGCAGGGAAGACAGTATCCTGTGGCCTTCTCTCTGGTGACTTAGTGCATATGTGTGGGGGTTTTTTTGGTGTGGTTTTTTCCCCACTCCCCAGCAGGTTCTAGGCTGGGATGCACTAGAATTTTCCAGTCAGTGATGAATCAGCATAGTGGATGATAAACTGGGTTTTCAGTTAATTGAAGTTAGTTAGAACTTGCTTTCTTCTGCAGACTGTAGGTACTGATCTGCACCTTTAGACTTTCTAATACCAATGAAGTCTTTTTCCCAGTGGGAACAGTTAAGCAAATGCTGGTACATTTTTAATTATGTCGAAGTAAAAGACCAAATGGTATGAGGTCGTCCTTATTGCAGTTATTCACTACATATACAGTAAATAAAAACACGCTGGAATAAGAATGTCTGCTAACAGTGTTCTGATTATAATTAGTGTTCTGCTAACCAATGAGAGAGGTTTAGCATGGGTTTTTTTGGACATAACTTTGTTAGGAATGCCAAGCAAGGTTGACATCAGGAATGAATACTTTCCTGGTTTAAACATACTGCATCATTCCATCCAAACTCTGCTGAATTCCTTGCTTTGGAACCTAGAAAAGGTAAGTCAAATGTGGGTGCAGTTCATCATAGGCTTTTCCTTTATTGAGAAATAAAACCTTCCTGAGCCTGAAAGTTAGTAACCTTCTGTTGAAAACATGCAGGAGGTTTGGAATAGAGATCAATGTTTTGAATAATGACCAAGTAAAAGAGCAGTGGAAAGATAATCACTTTGTGCTAAGCTGCTTGTTTTTGTGTTTTTTTGTGACTTCAGTTCCTCTGTCTGAGGTGATGTGAAGGTCTCTTCTCATTTGGGAATAACTGAAGTCCAGTAAAACCACTCAGCCAGTGAGAGGGCATGGAAACCATTTCTCTGTGCAGGGGAGTTCTGTGTCGTCCAGTTTATAGCGGGGGGAGAGAAACATGATCTGCTATGATTTTTCTCACTTCAGAATTGCAAATGAATAGCAGCATTGCTTAACACGTCATGTGGCTTTTTGGAACTACTGTCTCTATGTGCTGGATGGTGTACATACAGCTTCTTCCCTTCTGCATCAGTTCAGAGGTGTGGGGAATATAAGAAAATCTGCTACTGTAAAGTGGCAAATATTATTACTCTGTGTATGCTAGGCTGACAGCACTGTCACTTATCTGGCCTTCTGGTGGAATGTAGAATAGCAGGTCATGATCTGAAAAAAAAAGTTCGGGCTTCTATTAACTTGGGAAGTAGATCCTGATATGAATGACTAATTTTAGTCTTCCACGACAAATAGCAGAGCAGCTTAATAGAGTATAGAAAAACTTCTACCCACTAATAATCAATCAAGGGAAACCATGAAGGTATTAAGTAAGTGCAGTCCCTGTCCTGTCCAATACAAAGACAGTATGTAGCCTTTGTACCTCAAATTTTTCTAAGTTTTGTGTGCCCAGTTTGTCCATAGTTGGAGTCTACCAGAGAAGGTTACTTCAGGTGATTAGCTAGCTTTTAATTCTGTATGTTTTACACACTTAAGTGGATGTGCACAGGTAATGTAGATACACTGAAAGTTAACTCCCTAGTGCCTTGTCAGTTAAGAGTTCTTTATTCTCTTTTAATAAGTAATTCTTTCTTCTTACTGAATCTGTGTTCAGTTTCACCTTTTGAAGTTAAAGAAGCTTCATTTTTGTTTCTAAAGTCCTCTTGCAAGCAACTTAGCAAATTTTTCGTATCTAATAAACTGAATCCAAAGTAGGAGTGACCTCCTTATGCGATTCTGTTACTATTTATGCAGTACAGGAGAGACCTGCAATGTGCTACGTGGAGTATGGATCCAGTTGTTGCCCCCTGTGACACTCAGTGATGTGTTCTAGCTGAAGTGAGGGAATAAAATGAGTGTATTTTTGTGTTCTTTTTTTTCGTCCTTCACTCTAGTCAGCTATGTTGAAATTGGAAGCCTATTTCTGTAGACAGATTCTTTGAGCTAACCCATAGTGATGTCTGGGGTTTTGTAGCAGTGATAAGAAATAATGCTAAAAGGATACATAAATTAAGACTTTAAATTTTTTTTTTAATTTCCTTAAAGGCTGCTGTTTATACTTGTACTAAACAATAGAGTACAACACAGATCATGAACATGTGAAAGGGAATATTACAAGTTATCTGAGGGAAAGGGGAGACACGAGTCAGTGTTCCAGACAAGTCAAACTGTTTTGGTCTGAATTTGAAATTATGGGTAATCTTGCTACTCAAAGCATTAGATAGAATTTTTTTTTTTTTATTCTAAATAGCTCTAGGCCTTATAGCTGTCATACACTCTCACTGATTCACTTACTGTGAACCTTTGAGAATGGAGTGGCTTTTAGATTGTAAAATAATTGAACAAATATTACTGCCCAAGACTAGATAATCTGAAAAAAGGACTTAAGCACAATAAAAAACCGAACTACAGTAGGCTGAAGCTCTGTTTTTATTATTTATAGTAACAGGAATTTAAGGTATGACTGTGCAGAAAATCGGATTCCTGTTATTTACCAATTCATGTTTTCTTTAATTACAGACAACAGAAGATAGCGGAAAGGGAAAAAAGAGCAGCAGAACAACAACGAAAGAAAATGGAGAAAGAGGCGCAAAGGCTAATGAAAAAAGAACAAACCAAAATTGGTGTAAAACTGTCCTAACAGAAATGAGGCATCAATGGCAGCGCCAGTGAAAAAGAGAATTTCATCTCCCCAACACACCTGTTGGTATCGATTTAAGTATTTCTAAGACTTCAACACACTGCTTGGTTTGAGTGCATTCTTCAGGTCATCTTGGAAGCCAGGATTCTCCCAAAATACCTTGAACTACAGAAACATGGTTCTTAAAGGAGAAGAAACCCACAGAAAATCATGCCTTGATGGAATGTTTCCTGCAATAGTTCTATTCCAGCACCCTTCTTTGGAGCAAAAGTGATTGAGCAAGGATATTGATTGAAAGACACTCTTAATGAACAGCTCAAGCCTAGGGGAAAGAATGTAAATATTTACTGGTGGGAAATCTATTGTATTGTCTGTGCTTACCTAAAACATGTAATTAAACAATTTTAAAAAACCCCTTGCTTCCTGCCTGATAAAGAATGTCTGCTTTTGCGTTTTTTATAAAAGTATTTCCAAATACTTCAGAGTTTTCCATGGGAGATCATATTGACCTGTGCAGAAGAAAATGATTTGTTATGGATGACCTGCAATTCTAAATGTACTCCTGGTAGAGTACGCTGTGGTAGAGCACAAGTTGCAGCTGAACACTGAAGTGGATTTCTAGTCGCTTTGTCACTTGCAGCTTCCTGTGCCACCATGCCCATTTACAATGCTGCAGTGGCTACCAGCAGTGGCATCACTGCACAAGTGGTGCAGGCTGCTCCGTTCTTATGCAGGCTGATGTGAGTGTAGGGGAGCAGTTTAATCACTTACTTGTACTGGTAAATTCGTATTTCTAGCAGAAATTCTTTTACTTCCTGCAGTTGGGGGGGGTGGGAATCTTCACACCTTATACTCATTGCATAGGTAGTATAATTGGGGAAAAAAAGCGTGTCCTATTAATAAAGCTAGTGTGAAAATTCTCAGTTAACAGCACTCTTCAAATTCTATTTTTGTACACTTACTGTATGTATTTACAGTGGAATTCCTCTGGGAAAAGTGTGCATGGTAGAAAACAGTGATTTAATGAAGAAGAAAAGTTAATGTCTGCGGGACGGAAAGGTGTGTGTGGGAAGAGCGAAGTCTGGGTGGTTCTTATGTCCAGCTCAGAGCTTCAGTGAATACATTCTCCATCTTCTGGTGGCATGGATGCTGTTATCCCTGAATTCATGGGTTGTATGGATTTCTTCGCTTGTGACAGTTGAATGACAACAGCAAATTCTGTGCCTGAGACTTGTTGCTTGTATACACAGGGAACAAGTGAAGTTTTAAAAGAATGGGAAGGGGTGGGGGGCTGTCTGACTAGATCATCTCTGCCTAGAAAAATAAAGTTTTTAACTAAGTTGTAAGTAGATTCTGACACAAATTTTGCTTAAAAGATAAGTGAGAAAGCAAAACAGTAAGAATTGCCTTTAATGCCTTAATCATGGAGAAAAGCTTCTGAAAAATGTTCAGTATGCTTGTCATATTGCTTAAAATCTTGCACAGGTCAACTGATTTGACAGTGATTTTCAGATATAAAAGAAGTCCTTGAGAAATGTTAAATTTTGAAATATATTTCAGAAGGCAACCATATGCACTTTTGTGCATATTTTCTGGCTGGAGTAGAATGGATGACTGCAGCCTGTGCAGAGTTAACAGTGGTATGGCAAGCAAATCTGCTCCTACTGCACACCTGTGAAATATCTGATGGTGGATGGGAGATAAGGAGAACATCCATGAGTAAGTTTTAACAGTCCATGTCCTTTTAACCGCACTAATGAAGCAAGGGGGTTCAAGTCACAATTCTTTTGCTATTGCTGACACTTAGCAGGGAAACCTAATGTCTATTGCCTACTTAAGGTAAAATCTGTTGGAAGCTGCATCTCATCTTTTAGAAAAAGTAGTTTAGTGCTTACTATTGCTATTTCTGAGACAAAATAGATGCAAATAAATATTATTTATTAAAAATAACAGTGTGCTAGTTAATAAAAAGTACTCAGGAGCTTTGTTTCTAACATTATGAAAGAGCAATTGTAAAAACTTTTTTAGCCTTCAGCCATTTTAAAAACCATTAGGTGTTGCCACCTTCATGCATGCCAGCCCTCCTGCATTGCTTTTCCCTCCTGCTGTGTACGCACACTGTTTTGCTGTTCTTGCCTCCATCTACCTGCCTGTGCTGAGATAATGCCAGTAAGGATGCAGTGCTCTTGTATGTAGTATTGTGCATGTTAAACCCCTGCATTGGTATCTGTTTCATCTTTTTCCTCTGCTATGTCTTCTTTCCTCCTTCCTATATCTTGATTTTTATCCTCCACAAATGTGAAAACATTTTTTTCTAAACTGTTTGTTTAGCTGCTGCTCTGTCATTATCTTTGCCATCAGTTTGAGTTCCTTGAGGGATTTTGTACACCCACTGGGTTTGCTCCTTTTCCCTCCTGCTGCCATAGGCTCTTTTTCTCCTCTCCATATGTGGCCTATTGGCCATGTCCTTTTTTTTTTTTTTAATTATTTTACTGAAAGCTAGTGATTGCTTTCACCGTTATTCTTGATTGTGGAGGAGTGACCTGCCAGGACTGAAAAATCATCCTTTCCTTGACTGCTGTAGTTGTTCGTGTTCACAAGGTCCTGTGTTCATTTGTCTGAAAGATTTTGGAGCAAAATGTTAATTTGTTTTTCTCATGTAGCACATATATAAAATTGTGCTTTCATTTTAATATGTTTCTAGAGGTTGGGATTTAGGAGAAGTAGTTGATTTGGGGGAAAGGAAGGAGAAATGAGTAAGTAATCAGAAGTTAATAACAGCCTTGTGAGAGGGTGGACATACGTAAGGGTGCAGATGAATCTCTGATGGGGAGGTGGGCAGTGCCTGTGCCTCAACGTTTTCAGCACCTTAGGGGCATGCTGGGTACCTCTAAGCTGAATGTTAAGGGCTTTTTTGTTCCTGGGTTAGAAAGAAAAATGCTTAGAGGATTATCAACAGGCATTGCTTCAGCCTGGGAAGGAGCTGACTTGGCTCCTATGCTGTCCTGTAAGCCTAAATTCAAGCAGACATCAGCTCTTTTGCCCATAGCTTGTGAGCTGCATGTCCTCCCCACCTGTGCACTTTGAGACAGGACTTTCCAGTGCAGTATGGCTGTGGGTATGAACGTTTTTTTGAACTCATGAGGAAAAAAAAAAGGGATAGGAGTTTTTTATTGAACTGTTTGAAGGCTGATGGTTCTGCCCTAGCTGCTCCGTACAGCACCAGCAGGATCTGGGTGAGACATGACTAAGACAAGCTCAATACTAGAGGGGAAAAAAATGAAGATGGTATGTTTGCAGCAACAGCCAGCGTATCCTCTGTGGACTGGGGAACAAAGGCCAGTCCCCCAAAGTCTGGGACTGGAGCATTTATCGTGGCACTTCAGGCCTCTTCTTAGAAAGGACACCTTGAGCTGTCTACATCCTTGCAGTATGGAGGAGGAAAGGGGGAGGCTTGGAAGCGAGCTGAATTTTGGTTGGAGATCAGAGCAAGGACTTTTATTGGGCATAGGATGGGAACTCGGTCACCTCTCACTGAGCATAGTTAAATGCCTTATGAGAGCTGAGCAGACAGAGAGGTTTCTAAGGGCAGGAAGGAACTTCAATGTTATTCTGGTGTTAGCACCTTATGTCTTAAATAGTCTTATGTCTTTAAATGCTTAAACATTTAAAAGCACTGCTGCTAAATGGAGCCTGCCCAAAACACGGTTTGAAATGAATTCAGCCTATTGAAATTTTACATGTAAGTGTATGTTTGTGCTGCCTTGTTGTCTGCTTGCTGCAAAAGAAACCCATGTAGGCACAGGTGAATGCCTCTCCTAGAACTGAAGATCACTTTTTACTCTAAAATATGTTCCATTTCACCACCACTCAAAGTGAAGATCACTTAAACAATAGTGGGTAGAAAAGAGGAACCCAAAATTGTAATAAAGTTGTTAACATCAGGTATAAAATAGTCCTCTCTTGGCCTTGAACAGACATAGTTTGAAGTAGGAATAAGGCACTTTCTGTAATGTGTTCCAGTCTCAAGAGGAGATAATCTAGGAATGATGAAATTCCATAGTTGTGTAAAATTTAGATTAGCACACTCCCAAACGATTTCGTCCTTTGTGTCTGTGTAATTAAAAGAAAAAGCTTTTGAAAGTGACCTTTGGGCAATATGTACTGCAGTAGTGTCATAAAGCAAGCCAGATGGCCTGCAGAAGCCCAGGAAGGCAGGAGAGCATGGAAGAAGTAGTTAATGGCAGAGAGAGCAAGATGCTCTTGTGGCCATCTTTGTGAACTCTTGGAGCCTATGTTATATCAAGTTGTCTGTTAGATTTCTCTTCCTTAATATAACCCTTAATGAACCCTCCTGAATCTTTGTGGCAAACACAAGTAATTTGGAACCTGGGCATCCCAGGGATGTGAAAAGTCTCCTGAGCCACCTCTGTAAGCATTGGTGTGTATCACTCTGGAGTGTTGCAAACGCTCCCTGCAAGCCGGCCAATTACTCCTCCTCCCTTGTGTCTTACTAATAACTCCCTTCTTGCCAAAAGCTGCAGAGCAATGCATGGCATTGTCTGGCTTACCTAGACCTCTTCCGTTCTTCTCAGGGAAATACTGCACTTGCTTGCTGGAGGGGAAAACAGGAGGCGAGTGAGGTTTAAATGGCCAGGTTGGGTAGAGCCAGACAAACCCCACTGTCTTCTGTTGGGTAGGGTTGCCCTCCTCTGATCTATGCACAGATCTCAAGTTTCAGATGTGGACAGTTAGTGGTTTGATGGTCACAGTGGCATCTCAGTGTGCACACCAGGACTGCATGACTCCCGGCTGAGTTAAACAAGGCCTTCTGGACTTCTGTTAAACGCTAGGAAGACTAATGCTCTCCTGGCAGCGCAGAAATGAGATGTTACAAGCTTCTAGGAGATTGCATTGGGTTAAGGATCAGGTCACTTCCATCTCAGTGCAGCGTGGATGCAGCAGAGCGGGTGGCGTGCGTGTCTGCAGACCCACTGGAGCCTTTTTCTGTGGCTGAGTGCTTACGCTGTGCTTGGGTTTTCTCAGTCTAACTCTGTTCTCCAGGTCCTGATGGTTCCTTATGCCCTGAGACAGTGCCTCCTCCAGTCCTGCCTGTGCCTGGCAGCTCAGCTGAGATGGGGTGTTTTAATAAAACACTTGCACATGTTTAACATTTCTAACATGCTTTACTGAACTTGTGATTATAAAGGTAATTTACAATAAAACAATTAAATAAACAATAAGTTAAAACACAAACGCACTTACACATAGTATCAAGGGCTCAAATGACTATCTGGTTCCAATACATTAAGATTTTAAAACAACATTAATAATCAAAGTGTATCCACGCCTCTACTTATCATTGTAACATGTTTCAAGACTCCCAACAAGGTACAGTTTTGGTTGCAGTCCCCGTATATGCACAGGACCAGTGAAATGCTCGAGCAATTGTACGACCGAGAAGAGCACTACACGAGACGGGCACGAGCAAGGTGCTGGAAGCTGCCTGGGGAACACGGACTTTACCTCTAAATTGAATTGACACTTCGGATAACAGCTGGGAAGCGCGAGCATGCTTTCTGGGGTGCACGTGGCAACAAGTCTCCATGTCACTTGCTTAACGCTGTAGTTTCACGAGTTGTCTGGGTCGGTGCTGCCTAAAGAAAGACCCCACCTTCCTCTGGCCGTTTGCTCCCGTGCGCACCTCGCGCTCCCCTCGAGGCAGTGCGAAGCGCTTGTACGTTTGCTCAGTGAACCAGCCAGGGAAACCGAGCTTAGTGCCAACTCAGCAAACACAAAGGGGTGCTGGCTGTAGTTTTTCTTGATTTCCCTGGTCATGTTCACTCTGCAGATGTGCTGGCACCAGAAGAACAGCAGCACAGGGGAGGGACACAACGCCTGGGAGCAGGAGGATTATTTCTGTAGGCAGCAGTACTGTTAAAAACACCAGATAAAAACATCTTGTGGAACTACAGGGTTCGGCTTTTTTGTTTTGAAACAAGGAACACGTTTTTAAACCTATTTATAGTGCAAATCAAATAGTCAAAAGCAAAACTATGGACTCTGCCAGAATATACAATAAGTTTTTACCATCTATCTCATCTCTCTCTCTGCCTCAGCCAGTTGGTGCGCAGGGACAGAGTGGACTTAGGTTTCGATGTTGAAGGGTGTATGGCGTAAAGAGTGCAGGGCCACCAGGCAGCAACCACGAAGCAATGCTCCGATATTGTAAATGGGATCTGTTCCTCCTCTCCGAGTACTGAAAGCCCATATGACAGTTGGTATGACAGGGGCTGCTACACTCAGAACATCTCTGAAGAGGCTGCTGCTCCAGTATCTCCTCTTTATTCCTGCCTGAGAGAAAGTATTGGCATACTCTAAGGCTTCGTCATCCTGAGGTTCTGTAAAATCAAGTTCTTTCATGAAGCGGTTTTCATTAACTCTATGCTCCACCTCCCTGCATGGAGACTCCATAGGAGACAAAAGGATAGCGGAATTTGGATCACTTGGAGTTAAATCCACTATGATCCCGGAATCACTGAAGCTTCCAAGAGAAAATTCACCCAATTCCTTCAGTGAAGAGGGTGGGCTTAGATGACAGGCATCTTGAGCTCTGAAGATGTTTTGAATGAGCTGCTCCACATTTAGGGTATATAGCACCACATCAGTCTGGATGGCCTGTTCCACCATCATGTTGCTTCTTTTCTCCTCCTGGGAAGAAGTTAGCTTTTCTTCCAGAACATTTTCAAGCATCTCTTTATTCACAACAGAACTGGAGGGAGCTGGATCATTCAACTGAGAGGTTGTTGTGGTCAAACTCTCTTCAGATGAATCAGTCCCCTTAGCTGTGTCCTCATTAAGAAGCAGCCCACTATCTGCCATCTCCTCCAGAGCTTGGTCCTCTGCGATGAGGCTGTCTGGCACCGTGGCACACGATCCTAATGGCTTCTCCTCTGAGTCACACGTGTACTCCAGGCATTGCTCATCCCTCACGGAGCTGTTCTGAGCCATCTCCATGTTCTGCAGCAAAGTTTCCAGTTTCTTGTTTTGAATGTTTATGTCTATGAAGTATTTCTGAATTTTTTTGTCTTTCTCAGCCAAGCTATTTTTCATGGTTTCAATAACCTGCTTGAGTTGTTTAATTTCACTTCTTGCTTCCTTTAAGGCCAGCTCTGCCTCCACACGATTACACTCTTCTTCAATCCAGTCTTCTCTCATCCGTCCCAGCTGAGCTTTGAGCTCTTCTATTTCTGTTTCCCTGTAGTAAAATAAAAATGTTGTAACACTTCTGCTGGTCAGTTAACGAGTCAACGTGAGGCTCCACCGCACTGGGATGGCCATGCTCCAGAGATGCTCCAAGAAGGAAGCAAATTCCTCCATGCACCATTTGCTGCCCCCTCTGAGAGAGCTGGTAGAGATGTAAGCCGGCTGCCAGGACACGCCAGCTGACGGCTAACTTGAGTCACCGATCTCGCCACACAGCCAGCCGCCTTGTGGGCTACGCCACGGTCCTGGACGTTTTGAGGTGCAAGTGGTGACCTCTAGGTTAGGTCCAAGCGGTACAGCGCTTAACACCTCACCTACTGCCTCGCCCTGGAGGAAATGCGAAACAGCTGCCTGGATGCGTCCCCCATGCCCGCCAGCAGCTCGTCATGTACAGCCAGAGCCGACGCTGGCCGCGGGCAGCAGGACGGCTCAGGGCTGCGGGCACCTGGAGCCAGAGGCTGCTGCCTTCACCTCCAAGCAAGTGGGGAGAGGAGGCCCCTACATGGGATCCAGCCCTTGCAGATGCAAGAGGTCCAACCCCCTTGGACAACCCCGGGCTGGACCAAAGGGTTGCTGGGACTCTGCCTTGGGGCTCCATCCAAACACCCCTTTGTCCCCGCTTGGGGTGTGTGGCCAGGAAGCCAGCTCTCCGCGTGAGGTTTTAGTAAAAGAGACGATATTCTGTTGCTGTGTAAGGCACACTGTCACCTCGTTGCTCAGCGTCCATAAAAAGGGCTATTGTGAAAAATTCAGTATCTAAGCGACAAAAACACAAGTGGGCACACTGGTTTGTGTAAGAGGGGAGACGGGGGACATTTGTAGTCATATTTCACCAAGTGAGGTAGAACAGGAGACTAAGGTAATGCGTGCTGGCAGGTGGAAACTGTTTTATGTATGAAAGGTCTCAATGCTAAATCAGACATTTCAGATGTTCTATCGTGAAAGTTCAAAAAAGGGAAAAGAGACAGCTATATTCATAACTGAGATGTATGGTATGCATTGCCTGAGAATGCAATGAAACCTGAAATACCTGAAAACAACCTAATTAGACTGTTCAACTTTCTTAATGAAAACTTTATGTGGTCAAGAAATAGGTAAAAACGTTCAGGATTCCTACCCCTAAATGCTCCGGAATAGATCTTTCTAACTCTGATTTCTGAAGTGAAATTTACCTTTCTTTAAGTTTGCTCTCAGATTCCTTCAGCTTTGTTTTCAAATGCCGTACTGTCACTTCCTTCTGCTGCAGAGGAGTCAAATACTGCTCTGGATTTTGTGGCTTAATGCCATGATTGTCACCACAGGAATTGTGTCTCCCCGAGCGCCTGAAAAGAAAAAAAAAAAAAACAAACCATCATGTAACATCACTCCTACAGTTCTACAGTCCTGGCAAAAAGAAAAACATCCCATTGACAGATACAAAGCTTGACTCATTTGGGGATCCTCGGTGTCCGCACAAGTGACTCCCTCTGGCAAACCCAAAGTACTTGAGGAAAAGGCTGATTTGCGGTTATAGTGCAAAATTAACTGTTTATTGCACTCGGCTTCAGTGCCATTATATCAAATGAGACCCCCTCACCCGAAAAGGGTGGTGTGCCCAAAAGCAGGCAGCCGGGCCAGTGGCAAGGGCAGCCGGCTGCAGACACGGCCAGGCGAGGTAGCGCAAGGGCCGAGTTCAGCTCCACACATGAGTTATGAAGCTGAGCACGCCGAAACCTCGATTCGTCCTATCTAGCTTTAGGTGTGTATCTGGCATGCCTGGCTGTTGAGTTGACTGAGGGCGAGCGAGGGAAGCAGCAGCAGTGTGGTGGCAATTTCTTCTCCGCAATGTGCCGCGAGCTCTGGCGGGGATCTGCTTTTTTCCCTGGACAGGAAACTGCACTCCTTAGGGAGGTGCCTAAGGCTGGGCAGGGTGAATTTTCAAGTGTATAACGTTTTCTATACTACCCCACCCAACTCTCTCCAAAGCAAAAGACCCTTAGATGAGAGAACACGTAAATCCCCATGAGAACTGATGGCACCAAGCCACATGAAGGAGCCTGCCTTGGAGTGAAAACCAGCTACAAAGGGCTTTGACTAAAAGTAACCTTGAATTTTACAGTGCTGAAACAATAAAGCTTTTACAAGGGATGGAGCACCCTGGTGACTGTTGAGCCACCAATATGAGTCGTCACACCTATGCTGAGGAGCAAGATGACCTGCTCGGCGGCCCAGACAGCTGATGCCACGTTAAAGTGCAGAGAAGGCAGGTCAGTGCGCTGAGCACCGAGATGCTGAAATAAAGACTTGCCTCATCACCGGGCTGCTGTCGCTTCCTTTGTATGAGCCTGAGTTGCTGCTGCTGGCTGAAGAAGCTCTGTAACTCTGATGGATGTTAGCAGGACTCAGCTGGTTTTTGACCAGTGCTGACAAAGGGTCCTTTTCACGGGAAGCAGGTGGGCTGGCTCCGGACTTGCAGGGTAAGGATCCATTATTCCGACCATAAGGGCCACGGCTGGAGGGAAACCAAAACGGTTAAAGCGTATTGGATTACTCTCGTCATGCAACCCATTATGTGTCTTACTTTGCACACAAAGCTGTCTAAACACGAAACCAGATAGATGACTATGAGTAGCTCAGAAGAAAGAAAGTCCTGAAGTCATCAGCCGCTGCATATTCTTCCACTGACCGTGGGGCTCCTGGTCTGAATCAGGTGATCTAGGGAAACCTTGGCTATTTTCACATTTGTCTACGGATAGCACAGTTCCCCGTGCCTGCATCAGGCGGCCCACATTCCCTGAACCTCTGACTCCCTTAAGAAATGTGAGGGCCGCAGCCTGGGCTAGTGCCAAAAGAGCGACGTTCCGGCTTTCCCCGGCCAGGCCTGCGGAGAGACGCCCATCCGCGGAGGGCTGCTCTGAGGCTGCTTTCATGCTGCTCGGCAAGCAGCCCGAGGGGTCGCAGCGTGCAGCGAAAACAGATTTCATCATGTTTTCATCATGCATACATAGCCACTGTGCTCTCCTGCCTCGGGCAGACTGGGTGCT